CCCCAAAACCCCAAAACCCCAAAACCCCAAAACCCCTTTAGTTAATTTACGAGTTGAGTCTCCAAACTTAAATAATTTATAATATTCTATTAAAATGAAGGCAGGCAAACGAAACCGTGGGAAGGGCTCCCATAAGAATAGAAAAGGTAAGGCTAACAAAGGAGGCCAACCTACTACGAATGGAAATACCATCACCAACCGCAATTCTAGTACAGCAGGGAAGAATTCTGATTCCACCTCTAAGTACAAGAGTGATCACAATAGTGCAGAAAATGGGCCAATCACTGAGAAGGGTGCCAAAACTCTAATGAAAAGGACAATGCTCAATGGAGAAGAGGACTCTGGGTCTAAACCTTCTCCTTACTGAGCATGGAATGATGAGATCTTAACTATAGATAGTGGATCAGAAGCGATCTACACATCTGGATTGGGCAAGATGATACCAAGAGGAACTAATGTTGCTGATCCAGACCACTCTTCCACAAAGAAGTCCATATCATCACTAAAAGAATCCAGTCATCGCAACTCTTCTAGAAGAGCATCAGCAGCCAAGGAAAGAACCGAAATATGAAAGGATGATCCCAGCTCTTTTAACCGTAAGAGGGTCAAAGAAGGATGACCAGAGAACGTCTCTGGAACCTTCCTTCTGAGCGATGACCCAGACGACCAAAAATATATGTTTGGGAATGACTGGTCATCTGAAACTAAGTATCCTTTTGAGGTAAATAGCATTTCCCAATTCGGACTCGAACTCAATGACAATAGGTAAGATCCATTAGCATAGTGTCTCCTGATCGGTTATCTAGAAAGTTGTCGGAGTCATTCAAATCTCCATTCTACAAGTACTATGGAGACTCTAAAGTGGAAGACCTTAAAACAGTAGATTTCAGCAAAATGTTTGCTGAGCACGACGAAACTCTCCTTTACATATTCCATTCTATGAACGAACTAGGGATCAAAGATAAAAGCTCTAAAGAGCTCACCAAGAAAGGATGGAAGTTTGACTCTGACTCCCAGAGATGGATCACTACTAGAGAGGCTACACCGAAAGGCAATAAGAGCAATGGGTAAGCCTTAGGCCTAAAATTTGGCATTCCACCTGCATTGGATTAAAATTTAATACGAAACTTTTACTAATTTCTATAATAGAGACGGTAAAGATCTCCTAAAGTCCAAATCCAACACTCGTGGAAAGGCAAGGGATAGTACAGAGATTCAAAGGTGGAAATTTGACATCGACCAGTGGAATCTAGTCCCTCTCAAAACCTCAGAGTCCAATTGAGAAACCGCTGCCTCCACACGTTTGGGCAGGATTGACTCCCCCACTGACTAGAGAAGAGGAAACAATGAGATATTAAATTAGACCTGTTGAAGAGTGGAAGCAAAGCTTGAGCAATTGCTTCTGACTATCAAAATTTAGTCTCAAAACTCCTCTCTAGTCAGTACTAATCTAATAATCTCGTTTTCTCTTTGAACGTACTGAATTGGTCTCTTTGCTAGGCGCTGTCAGCTGAAACTTTCTGTGAACATTTAGATAAATTCGAGTATTTTAAAATAAAATTGCCAACTGGGATTTCCAAGTAAGTCAACTAGGAGGGAAGACACAGAGATATGCACCCTAGACTAGCCTGAACTTGACGTATAAGTCCAGGAAAGCTAGGCCCAAGCCCAATATTTTGGCCTCCTTAAAGTTATTAACTTATATAGAACCGTTCAAGGTTTTGAAGGATGATAGGGGTTTTGGGGTTTTGGGGTTTTGGGGTTTTGGGG